ATCAGATATGAAACGGCTAAAAGGAAGGCTATTTTTGGAGAAAGCAGTGACATGAAAGAGGATCAGCTTAAGGGTGCATGGGTGGGAATAACACATTTCAAATGTAATTGCCACTCTCCCATCGACAGGCAGCTGTTGTCAACACAATCAAATGGCCGCGAGAAACGAGGTGAGGTGAGCAAATGCAGCCCGCAGCACCAGAGATGGTGGTGACTCGGAGATAAACAGATTCTGTCGAGGAAGAAATGTCTGTCTGGGCTTCAGATTTAATATTCAGCACAGTGCCCGCTCTGACTCACAATTGCATATCCATCTGAGAGGCTGAGCGGTGCAGCAGAATGAGGCAGAAGGCAGAGAAGGAAAACGTAACAGGTATGACAGTTCAAAGGCAGATGATAGACCTGGAGGGGAGAGTTGTTTGGTGTAACGGACATAATGGGGGGCGGGGCAGGATACGGGCCTAGGGTGGAGACTCGGGTTAGGGATTCAAATGTGACAAATATTGTGATGGAGGGACGGAAAGCAAAAAGGCCCATGACTACAGAGCTCAAAGAGATGACATGATAGGAGAAAATGGCTGTTTACAGAATGTGGCGTGGAGAATAAACGCCAAGTAACCGACATGACAGATGAGCACCAGCAACTAGGGAGTGACTGAGTGATGGATATGACAGAGGAAAGACAGACAACACAGAGTTGGTAGACTTCAAACAACAGACATGCAGATGAGGAACAGTATCCAGTGGAGAGACAAGGATTTGAGTGACGGATATTATGGGACTGAAGCAAAAGTTGCTGGGGAGGTAGTGCTTGGTGTCATAAATATGACAGTACAAATAGTGTAATCTGCAAAAGATGAAAGGAGCAGAGTGGACGGAATGAAAATAGCAGCTTGTGCTGAACTTGCTACTCAAGCAAGTGACAACGGCTTCACTTTCCTTCCATCTCATCTTTTTCTTACAGGAATATTTCCATGTAAATGGCTCACTTCCTTGTTCTGACTAATAATCTGCTACTTGTGTTTAAAAAATATATAAATAAATAAAAAATCTAGACACTGAGCATAAGCTAGACCATCTCACAATCAGTATATTAATTTTGCTCTTTAAATAGCAAGAGTTTTATGACTTTTGTTGCTTAAAGTTATGAAAGTTAAGGTTTGAAGGGATTTAGATTTGCTGAGCAGATTCACTGGCGAATTCAGATTTAATTAAAAGCTATTGAACCTCAACCCCTTTTGTAGTAAAAGCTCATTTATACTGAAGATGACATCAGGGGTTTTTTACATCACACAGGATTTGGACTTTCATTTTCACAACATGCTTGTTTGATTCATAAGAGCAGGATTACTGCTGAAATCAAAGTTACCTTTTTTTAAACGATCCTTTTACACAGAAAGATTCATTATCATTTTATTCTATAAAATATCACTTTGCATTGAGAACGTACCAGATAAGAATTACACCGAGGTAAATTGAAGAAAGGAATAGTTCTAGTGGCTTATAATTTAAAAAATGTAGCTGAACCACTAACTGATTTATTATTATTGGGGGTTTTTATTGTTCATCACTCGACGTAGTCTCATAATGCTGATAAAAATGCTTTTTTAGGCTCGTGTTTATCTTTAAATATTTAAATGCAAGATTGAAACAGCTTATAGTGAAACCAATTCAAAATTCTTGACCCATCTAACATACTGTTCTGAAACCAAATTTGGAGACAGCTCTGCTCAATGCATCTCCAGTTTGCCACAGTGAAAGCTCCACCATTATGCTGATCAATCAATGTGAACAATGACTGCTCAACTAATAAGTCACTTCAACTACTCTGCAGCCCTGCTGTGACTGATGGGACAATCGAGAGGAAAATCTTAAGAGCAGGAAATCCTGAACTGACAAGCAGATGGACTGACTGAGCCAAGACGTATTGGGGTATTGATAGATGACTGCTGAAATGTAATCTGGCTCACTGCAAGATTGATCTGTGTAGTTGTGTTGGTGGTGGGGTGGCTTCAATAGTCTATCACAGTTTTCCTCCCTCACATTTTCTTCCAATCATTCAAAGCAAACAGCGCTGGGCTTTCTTATTTGAAGATAAGGAAAAGCCCGTAACTCAAGGACAAGTCACTGGCGCTAACTGTGCTAACCGCTAACCTCCAAAGGATCTGCAATCAGTTACATTTCAAGTTTAACGCTGGTAAAATCCATCACTCAAACAGCAACTGTCTAATCATACGGAATTGCAAATGTACATGGCTAGACTGTAGAATTTTAGACTCATCGTGGATTTTAGTTAATTAGTTACTTCTGTGGGAAGTAGTTAGTTTGTCTTCAACCAACTGCCTCATAATGAAGGAGGGAAAAACAAATCACGTTATGAAGAGAAAACTTCTGGACTGACATATGCACCATGTGAGTGCTGAATTACCACTAATACCACATGATATTAAATACCACATCCAAGTTTGTGTTAAGGAACCTTTTTTTGGTTTCTAATAGTTTAGTTGTAATAGTTTCCCTGACATCATCACTACACAACTAGACAAAAAACCAACAGGAAGCCTCGCTGAAAAAGTGTATTTTCAGGTATGTTGTTTTCAGTTTGTTACTTGATTAGTTGTTAAAACCTTTTTTCTGACTGTTGTCATTTTTCCAGTGGACATCTAATAGGAATGAGAACACCTCAAAACATTCTGAACTACACAAGAGGAGAACATAAACACAGGTCGAAGAGGTGTATGATTTTAAAAGGCTCTAGCCAACATGTGACCAACAAGCTTTACCTTGACCAGTTCCTTTTGGGGCCAGATCTGGATGGGCTCCACTTGCTGGGGTGTCTGGGTCTGAATACCATAGGTATTCAAAAACACTTGCAGTCTACAACCACATAGAGAAAAAACATACAATATTAAATTCATGCCATCTCCATCAGCCCCAGCAGTCCCTCCCACAGACCTTTTGTTGAAAAATACATATGAAAAACCCTGATATGCTGAGAAACAAAAAGATGAAAATCTAACTGGACAGCAGGATATCTATTCAAATATATGATTAAAAGACTATGACTAAACAAAAAGATGGAACTCGTTTCTCCTTCAAAACAAGAAAAAACGATACCCATAATTCACCTTATTATTATCATTTTTTCTTATTTTAAGAATAGATGGAGAGATGCTGTAATCTGATCCTGTCCTCACTTCACTTAAACTGTTGGAGGCCATCTAGCACAGTGCCATTCAATTGAAATTCACCACTGCAAGTTTTAAAAAACGGTTGGAGGGTCATAACTAGCATCGTCATTTATATTCGTTGCTCTCTAAGCTGCTGAGATATGCTGACTATAATGGGCCTGCTTCAATTTGTGTGGTCATGGTTAACTGTTGAATGATTTATTAATCATTAATGGGATCTTGTCTGCATGTCTTTTGTTCTCAAAATGAGTAACAAGTAACTACATCCTTGGTCTCAGAAGCCTGCATTACCTCCTTTAGCAGAAGTAACTTGGTGACTTGTTCTACATAAGCGTTTGTCCACCAGCCTCCAACACAAGCTTGTTGGCATTTCTGACCACTTTTTCAAGCAAAGGTTTTGTTACATAGGGTTCGGGGTTTTTCATGGATGTACTGCCTCCTTCAAACCAAAAAATTTCCATCGCCATCCTTCACAGCTGGTATGACGGTTTTCTCCAGAAAGCTGTGTTTAATCGCTGCCAAATGGGTCTACTGTTCACTATGCTTAATTCAGGCCAAAGTAAATTATTCTAAAAGGTCTGGTCTACAGCAAAACTGCTGTTTTGCTCTAATTTTCTTTTTTGGACTGTGAAGCCTTTTTTCCTGGCACACCCACATGCAGGTCAAATTTATGCAATCTCTCTTCTGATTGTTGACACGTGTACTTCCAACAGCTGCAAGAGTAGCCTGCAGATTCCATTTCCAATTTCAATTTGAGGTTCTTAGAGGCTTCTTTTAGCATCGGTCTGTCTGATGCTGGCCAGCAAATTCTGGCCAAGTAAATGGCCGCTTTTTCAAATCAATTCCGCTTACAAATGATTTTGTTGACAGTAAAATTATTCATTAAAAAAAACAAAAAACCCTTCCTTAAATCCAAAATGCTGCAGGAAGAGT